CCCCCCCCCCCGCCAGTTTTTTTTCGTTTTTCGTTTTTGTTTTTCTTGCAGCAAGCACTTCCCGGTGGAAGGTGCAAGAAGCCAGGGAAAGGCAAGGTTTTTTAATATCATTTCATCTCAGTTCCCCCCGCCCCCTCCCTTCCAGCTTCAGTCCCAGCTTCATAATCTGCCCACAGAATATAATTATCTTGTTAGCTGCAGGGTTTTTTTTTCCATGGGAGAATTAGCATTCAATCTGGTTTCTCTTTCAGCTGAGAGAAAGGGAGAATTCTGAAGGGCAGCGCTGCCACTTTGAACAGAAGGTGGGGAGGCTCCCCTTAACACACACACACACACACACACACACACCCATTCTCGTTTGCAGCGTGGACGAGTCAGACGAAAGGTGGGAAGACTGTGGCATGGTTGTGATGCTCCAGACTCAGCGCAGGCCCAGACGGCTTTCTTAACCCTTGTGGAAATGATAGGAACCAGACCAAGTCGAGCTTCTCCCTAGAATGGAGCCCCTCCCTCTTCTCTCCCCCCTCCCAGCTCACTAGCTGGCTGGCTGGCTGGCTGGCGATATTCTACGTGCTTCTTCAGCCGAAGGTGGGACATCGGAATGGGAGGGTCTCTTCGGTTTTGTTAACCACTTTGAATTGCTGCTGGAGGGAAAATGTGAAGTGCTCAGGGGTGGGTTGCCAAGTCTTAGCAATGTGCTTGAAAAGGGTAATTTAAGGCAAAGGTGCAAGGGGGGCTTTGGGAAAGTCTGAGGGTGGATTGTAAGGTCATTGTCTGCATTGCAGGTGCAAAAAGATCCAAAAGACTGCATCCTTTGGGGGGATGTGTGGTACGTGAGCAAAAGGAACTGCTTTCCTTTCGGTTCTTACGCAGCAGGAATTCGCTCTTGTAAGACTGCAGTTGGTGGCATTCAATGGGGCGTGCATCTCCCATCCCTTCGGTTTTCTTCCTTGGACTGTAAATCAGGAGCTGTGCTTTTTGAGAATGCTCGTGTAAGGGGGTGAGTTTGTAAGAGGACTACTTCTTTATTTGTGTTTTTAGCAGGAATGTTGGAGGCTGTGTATCCAGAGCATCAGATTGGTCGATGTATTTGGATCAACTAAATTGTTTGACTTACTGAGAAAAATAAGTGGGAATGTCTTTCTCCCCCTGTAATTGTAGGATTGTGAGCTCCCCCCCTGCCACTTTGTGGCTGTTTGTTCTCAGTTGGAAAAATTAAGCAGCCATGTCTAAGGGAGAAGTCACCTGCATAAAATTAGGGGTACAATGGAAACATTCAATATTAGCTCTCAACTTGGTCCAGCCTCTGAAACATTTTATGAATCATCTCACGGCATTTGTACATTCTGTTTTATCCATTCTGAATACATCATTTGACCGTTTCTCTTTTCCAAGGCTTTTAATTTTTAGCTGGTCCAGGGGCGAACTTGAATATCGCTGCTACGAAGTGCTGAATGGCACCCAGACATTTGTGAGGAACGCAGAGAAGCAACTGCTTCCAGATACATTGTTTGGGTCAAGTGGCTGAAATTGGACTCTGCTCTTTCGTGAGACTATAAAGGACAGAAAACATTGCAACAACAGCGGGAATAAAATTGTCGGGTTTTCTCTAGATGAAGCTTTCTCTTTATAGGAGAGGGGTAAAGTATACAAACTTCCAGAAAGTTAGAAGATGGAGTTAAAGAGGACGTTTCTTACAGAATTGTGGCCTTGAACCTGTAAGTAAGTGTGTATCTGAACATCGGTGCTGCTGCTAATGCTGGTGAACTTTGTATTACCTTTAAGCTGATTTTATAATATTTAATTGGGAGGAAGCCAGATGGTGTCACTTGTTTGTTTGAGGTAACCAATATTTCAGTGAGTAATTAACAGAGGGCGTGTCCACAGACATTCACACGTATTTGTGGATGGTGTGCGACATCGCCCTGTAATATTAAACATTGAGCATGTCTGTTTTAGGCCTGCCTTTTGGATTGTATTAATTCGATCAGGATCTGTGGCTCTGACTGCAGACGGCTGCAATGTCTCAGTCAAAGGGAGCTGTTTCTGGAAGAGCTGGAGGCTAAACATGGACATCTTTGTCAGTTTCAGAGGTTTGGTGTTTTACTGCAGTGCACAGCCAAAAACCATCTTTTGCAGCCGCACCCCTGCTGGGTCTTGCTAACCATCGTATCTCATCTTTCCAAGACCCAGCCCTGGAAGACTATTGTGTATTATTGTCTATTTCCATGAACCAGCTTCCTACCACAGGGTTGGATGGTAATTCTAGGGATCTGGGTGGGGCTGAGCAAGGCCGTCTAGCAGCAGCATGTAGGAGACAGAGGCGTTTGGCCTCTTCTTGCTTAACCTAAACTTGTTGATTCGCTTGTACTAATGGTGATAAACCAAAGAAGCTTAAAAAGGAGCTTCCTTCTCTCACTTGGGCAATTTTATTTGTAATGCGTCTTTTTAAAAAAGGCAGTTGTGGCCTCGTGTTGGTGAAAACCTTGTTCTTTGACCAGGAAGGTGAATAGTTGATTTTTAAACACATACACTTTAAAAGAGAGTGTCCTGTCTCCATTGTGCAGGGCTGAGTTTTTACCGATGGAGGAACAGGGAAATCAGATGAATGGACCGAAAGATGTATCCCTGGCAGATTGTTTGGTACTGCCAAATAGCAGAATTTGGCATTTGCCAAAATGTTTGTCTGCACTGTGCTAAGTTAGTGGCAAGTTGCCATGCCGTGTGAGCGGCAGTTTGTCTGCCAGCTTTTGAGTCATGGTACAGCTTGGGTAAGGCGTGTCTGCAGGCGGCAGGAAGGGCTTCTAATGGAACAGGTATGCTGGATTAGAGGGGATTTTGGCCTGGATCCTGCTGGGTCTTCCCTTCTTAGGAAGAGAGAAACAAATCCTTAACTACGTCACTTACGTGGATGCGTTGTCTCCCAATGGCGTGGCCACGGACTTTCTGCAAGGGGTGGAAGGCAACTTATTTTGGGGGAAGTCGGTAGCTTTTGACAAGAGTACCCGAAGCTTTTCTCATCACAGTGTCAACCAGTTTCTCTGAACTTGGTGCCCTCCAGAAAGCTCTGCTAGCTGGGAAATCTGGACTCATAACCCCAACGTGTCTCCCTTTTTTCATCCGGTCAGGCAAGCTGGTTTTAAAGGACTTGAAGCCCTATCCACACCTTCAAAAGGGGTGTGTGAAAAATGCTTCAACAGCTCCTTTAAAAAAAGCCGCTAATTCTGGCCGCCCCATAGCCAAACCCCAGCCTGGTTCGCTTTGAGAAAAATTGTGTCGGCTTTTGGATACCCGAGGTTGCAGCTTGGCGGTTTGTAAATAACAGAAGCGAACTGCTGGCTTACAAACTGTAGTTTAGTGTCATCCTTGCTCATCACCATGCTTTTTGGAATCCGTTTCGGGGGGGGGGTTATTAATACAAGGCGGTACAATCCACACGGGCTCCCTATAGCTCAAAACACCCGTTTTTCGGAAGGCAAACTGGGTGAGGCCCAAAGGAACCTTTTGCTTTTCCACCTGCTGCATCCCGTTCTCCCTTTGCAATCCAAGGCCTCACCCCTCTTTACTGGCTACAAGTAGTTTTGTCTCAGCAGGCTTTTGGTGTTAGTATTCTTTGTACGGCTTAGGATTGATGTTTCATTCACATACATACATGCATGCATGCATACTGCTTTCCATGTTATTGTAAGCAGTCCAGGGTCTTCTTTACATTCATGCCAAATCATTGGGGGATTAAATAATAAATTACAAGCCTTGGAAAACACAGGTACCTCTTACCTGAGTATCAGCCAAAAATGGTTTCATCTTTTCCAAAGAATTTTGAAGTCCTTCCTTCCTTCCTTCCTTCCTTCCTTCCTTCCTTCCTTCCT